ACAGCTGCGATGGCTTGGGCATGTGTTGCGAATGCCTCCAGAAAGGAAGGCTAAGCAACTGTTTCTTGCAGATCCGACCGGCAGAAGGCCCAGGGGACGGCTAAGATTAATCTGTTGTAAATATACGGAAGGTGTCTGTTCCAGAGTCCAGTTCTCTTTAGCCGAAGCTTAGACTCTGGCGCTGCATCGTGAAGGTTGGAGGCTGTCTGACGGTTCTTCCTCCGCGACCCGAAATGAGAAACGGCGATGGAAGATGAGGATGATTAATCAGTGTATTAATTCTGCCGTTGTCGGACCCAAGCACGGAAGAGAAAGGAGAAGGGTTGGATACCGCCTCGGGATTCCAGTGAAACTTAAAGATCTGCCGATCATGATATCTTTGTCGCACCTATGCGGCTCAGTTATCACCGGGCTACTAAGGGTTGCGCAGGGTGTTGGAAAACTGAGGGAGACTTCGTAAAGTCGGCGATTGATATATGCTTCATGCCTTCCAGCAGCAGGGAGAGACAGAGCAATGCGACGACCACTGCCAAAGATGGATAGGACTATGACGGAAGTTCCACTCAGCAGTGGAGTCGCTACTCCTGCCGAACGTAGGACGCAGATAGGGCGTTGCAGTTATGGCATGTTAGACGTAGTTCTATCTGAACAATCAGAAAGAGGGAACATTTGAAAATTGTAACCTCTGCTCCATCAGAGAGGAAAAGCAGGAGCTAGTTGATGAAGTCTCAAAGTGTGAATTAAGCATTGTTGCACTCTGGTTAACAAAGTGGCGGTTCTCTGGAATTATGGACATGTGTGGGTGGAAGCTATTCTTCTCAGGTGTCAACATTACGACGCGCGCTCAGCTCGGTGTTGGTGTTCTGGTAGAACCATGTCTGGTTAATAGAATTTTTGAATGGAATCCTGTCGACGCAGGAGTGGCGATAATCCGACTGAAGTTACAACGCTAAATGTATGACCTTTTTGCAGGTCTCGCTCGATTTGAAGATAGAATATGAGTCCATCCTTGAGGAAGTGAAGAGTGTTCTGTACGAAGTGCTGACTACCGAGTCCTTCATTTTAATGGATGATTTTGATGCTCATGTCAGAACAGAACTGAAAAGTGGGAAGGCGTGATTGTGAAGGACGGGCCTAACGACCTCAACAAAAGCGGCATAAGTTGCTGCAATTTTGCGCAAACAGCGGACTGTCTATTATTAGCACTTTCTTAGACCATCAAAGCGAGCATCAGTATACCTGTTTTCAGAGAAGCTTGTGCAAAGAAGCCAGTGATGGATTTCATAATCGTATCGTTTGATTTATGACGCTCTGTAATGGATGTTCGTCTTAATAGGGGCGCAGAGATGTCAACCGATTATTAACTTGTTGTTGGCTATGCTGGAAGCGAAGGAGTACGATGCAAAGTCCTGGCGACAGAAGCAACCGGAGAATAAAACGAAAAGCATTATCTTCTGCGGACACAAAGGCCAAGTTTGCAAGCGACATCGCATGATGGTTTGAACAGATGTCATAGATGGCCGCTGACAAGAAACCAAGTGGAAATTTTTTAAAAGCGACATACTTGGATCTACCGAATGTCAGAAACGAAATTCCCAGTGAACATGAGATGCTCATGTGGCTGTAAGAACGAAAAAGGCTGCATTCATGAGATAGGTCGGAAGCAAAGAGAATTGAACTCGAATGCAGCATTCGAAAGCGCGCGAGGGAAGTTAAATCAGTGGCTACAAGGAAAACTGATTGCGGGTAAAACTGGAGTATAATTTTTAGATGGCAAACAAGGTATTCTGGCAGATCATCCGCTGGCTCTAAGGTGAGAAGAAGGGCACTCTAAGAGTCTTGAAGGACAAGTCCGGACATCGTCTTACCGAGGATGAGGACATTCTTCTTTGAAAACTCCTTAATCTGAGCCGCCGCAGGAAGGCCCGTCTTTCTGCAGATGAAGTCAGTTGCTGTTAAATGTTTGAAAAGTTGAAAGGCTGCTGGGATCGATGAAGTCCTCCCTTAGAGGCTTAAGCTTTTCGCGAACAGTGCAGGCTGTGTCTAGCACATGTCTGTCATACCGCAATGGCTGCGGGGAACACACCCGTTTACTATGGAACTATGGTGATAGTGCAGCTGTAAAACAAATGAGACCGTTTGGAATGCTTTAGTTGTCAGGTAGTTACCTTACTGAGTCTCCTATGGAAGGTCCACGCAAAGATATTAGAATGAAGGCCGCGAAACAGCTAACTGTAGGATATAAGAAGAACAGTGTGCCTTCAGGTCAGGCCGAAGCACCTCTGGCCAGCTTCGCCTTACTCTATATTGTTGCGAAATCGTGGAGGTTCACTAATCCGATTTACATGTTAATGTGGAGAAAATCCATGACAGGATTCCGCGAAAGGAGCTGTCGACGTGCCTTCAAACAAATGCAGTCGATCACCATTTGCTACGAACCATTCAGTCACTACGTGTTGATAGTGGGTATTGCTTCAGAATAAATGGCTTTATGTCGAGATCTTTCACCGTTGGCTCTCCTCTGTCCCAAATATGCATTTTGTCCCCTTTCCTGTTTGTGTTGTACATGGATAGAATAGTCAGGAGCAGCCAGTGCGATGAGTGTATCGGTGTAAGAGATATGCAGACGAGAAGGTTGCTGTTTGCAGACAACCTTGTTTTGATGGCAACTTCTGAAACTGATCTACAGTGCTCGTTGGAAAGATTCGCAGCCGACTGTGACGTTGCCAGCATGCGTGTGAACGCATCTAAAACGAAAAGTCTAGTGCTTTCTCGTTCTCCTGCCCATTGCACTCTTCAGATGAAAGGAGAAGTAGTGGAACAGATAAAGATATTTACGATGGTGCAAAATGGGGCGGTGGGGCGGAGATCGACTGGCGAATTGGAGTGGCTGTTGGCGTTCTGCGTGAATTAACCCGAACCGTTTTGTGTAATTTAAATCTGAGTCTATATATTAAACGCTGTGTTCAAGTCGACCTTCATAGGTGATTACCTGTGGTTATGAGTCGTGAACTGTGACAGAAATATTTCGATTCTGGGTACATGCGGCTGAAATGGGCTTTCTGAGACGAATCGCTGGCTTTACGCGTCTCCACATGGTCCAAAGTACAGAAATTCGATAGAGCCTTCTATCGCATTATTATTCAGCCAGTTCTTCTCCATATTGAAAGGTTATAGCTACAATTGTTTGGGTATGTTTTGAATACTTTCAGAAGAGAAAACGAAACAGGTATTAACCGACTGATCAAGACCCTAAGGACCTGGTCAAGTTTCTCGACTGTCTTTGCAGATTCGGGATATCTTCTGCCGTAGGCGAAAAGCAGGTGGTAGATCAGAAAGGTTGGAGATGTTGTCTCACACTTCTGCATCGACGATCCGAAAGAATAAACGGTCATGGAAGTTGTCTGATTAATCAGTATATTTGTTTTTCTTGGGTAAAATTGAGCTACGTCAGTTTTGGTAGAACAATTCGAGTTTTTTATATGAATATCGTAACTATCTTGTTGGCATAATGCTCATATGTAGATGTGGTAATATTTTCCGGGATGACATGGAATGTTGAATTTGTTATATAAATATCCTTGTGGGGAATATTTATGCAATAACTCCAATATGTGGTGTCATCCCGTATGAGATTTTTTGAATTTGATTGTTGAAATCTGCTGCAAATTTGCAAATGTCTCTTATAATTTATTGTCGCTATCCTTTGTATGAG